AAGTTCAAAAGTTAAGGACAGACAGTCCTTAACTTACAGTTACACGTTCAAAAGTTAAGGACAAGCCTTAACTTACAGTTACAAGTTCAAACGTTAAGGACAATAGGTCCTTAACATTGATTTCCAAGTTCAAAAGTTAAGGACAGACAGTCCTTAACTTAGAATTACACGTTCAAAAGTTAAGGACAAGCAGTACTTAACTTACAATTACAAGTTCAAAAGTTAAGGACAATAGGTCTTTAACTTTGACTTACAAGTTCAAAAGTTAAGGACGCTTGGTCTTGAAGTTAGAGTTCCAAGTTCAAAAGTTAAGGACATGTAGTCCTGAACTTAGAGTTACAGGTTAAAAAGTTAAGGACATGTAGTCTTGAAGTCCTGAACTTAGAGTTTCAAGTTCAAAAGTTAAGGACATGTAGTCCTAAAGTCCTGAAGTTAAGGACATGAGCAGAAGGGTATTTTTGTCCGGGCAGTTATAGTTTATTAAACCAGTGGCTAAAGACTAAAGACATTTAAAACACTGGCTTTAAAATAAAGACAAGAGCTGTTAGTGGCTATTTGTGCACATCGCCCCAATAAAGGTCATTGCAGAATCTGCTATCAAATTTGCTTACGTGCACGCCATTATTTACTCCAAGGCATTTGGCCATTAGCAGAGCTGGACAATTCAATCATTACTTTATGTTATACCAGCAAACCAGAAAATCTCTATAGAGAAAACAGAGTAAGTGTGTTTACCTACTCTTTTCAACGTTCTTATCGCGATTATCTATGCTCTTTGTGGAAAAACTTTATAGTAATTTTTTTTTCTGTTTTGGTTATCTCTTTCGCACTTCTCTGGCACTGTTAGGTTTTACTGTTTCATCTGTTACGTCTTTTGGTTTTCTCACTATATGCTATTTTAGAATTTCTTTCCCATCACAGGTTCTATTTGACTATAAGTGCATACTTTGGGTAAAATTATTCGCCGATGGTTTCTGTTTTTTCATATACTGCACATCGTCAGAATTAAATTTTGCGACATGAGTTGACTTGCAATTTTGGAGCTGGCTGCATAGGTTCGAATTATTTATGAATAATACAAGAACTTTGGGCTGAGGATTATTTTTCAAGAACAAAAAAAGAAACTAAAGCTCATTTCTGTTAAAGCTTTAGGCGTTGGGGAAATAATTTTTAAACTTCTACATACTGATGGTTAAATGATATTAAATGGACCATGAAGTTAGTTTTGGTTCTGTTAGAATTTTTTTTTGTTGGTAAAATTCATAGGTGTATAGTGATTGTTTTGTGAAGGGCAATTTTCTCTTACAGCTATGAGATTTCATGCTGGATTTTTACCAACGTATGTTTGTCTCTTTAATCAAGTAATTTGTTTTTACTCTGCACTCTTTTAAGATTCGGTTGGTCAATATAATTTTAAATATCCTGAAATATTATATGTTGGTATACACCACACAGGCTGCTAACAGACTGTGCAACAAGGTTTCTTCTTTTCATATATCCATTGCTTTGGAGATGCTTCGAAAAAAGTTGCTTGGCGAGAAATAATTATGGTCTATTATTTCCTTTTTGAATTTTATTATAACCTCTTACCTTAAATGTTTAACGCATAATGTGAATTTCTTCTCTGATTTCATGAGTAAACCTCTATTTATACTCATGTTATATATAGTATTTAGCATCTAAAGATCTCTTTATGCTTACTGCTATATCTTCCAATTCACGTATAAATTCATCACTTTTAGTAATATGTACCATCCTACGGCTACAAAATACTACTTAAAGTTAAGGAGCTATGATCTTTGTGTGATCATATCAATCTTCTCATTTTAGCTATTACAAATACATATTCTGATGATTTATATAGGTTTCATCTGAGAGAAAATTATTGTGCGACGCAGCAGAGGAAGTTGTCTCCATTTCCTTCATTTAGGAGAAATTGATGAGTCTATCTGCTAATTTGTGGTGTTGGACCTAACTGCACTGATTAGGGGAGAAGCTAGCTAATGGTTTTCTTATATTTCTATTGTTTTTACCGAGGGTGAGGAGACGAGTGAGGTGTTTGGTAGTCCTCATAGGTTTGGGCCTTCTGGCATCAGATCCATTCGGAGGATTAGTGGAGCTCTATCTATTTTTGGTGAAGCTCCTCATTGGTTTTCGATTTAGGGGGAGAGAATTTTGTTGGTTCTCTAATGAAATGCGAGTGTTGATGTTTATGCGTTGGGCTGTGTAAGATTGTGATTGTAGTGTAGTGCATGTATTTTTTTTCCTACATTCTTTTAGAGTTTTCCTTTTTCGTTTCTTCTAAATGTATATGGTGTGAGTTTTCTGTTTATAGGGTTAGTTTGTGCAATCTTTGTATGTTTGTTGCACTTTATTCATTTTTATGTGCATATGTTAGTTCCTTATAGCTATTGAATTATGTCTTGCTACAGCTTTAACATGCATGTTAGTGCTGTTCCTAAATTATACATGCATTATGCCTTTGTTGCCAACAACTCCAATTAGAAGTGAACAATGCACCCGAGTTATTTGATGAATATCAGCAAGAGGTGAATCTGAACTTCTATATTCTGTTGATTTTGGATGAATCAAGTCTTCATGATTTGAATTTCCCAAAAGGAGGGCTCAAGAGTATCATTTTGTCATTTGTAAAATTGTTATACCTGACATCCACATCACAGACTCACACTTAAAGCATATTGGAGTGCACATAAGTTGCAATTTTGAATAAGCTTTGAATGAACTTATAACTATTTTACCAGATTTATATTTAAGTTACTGATATTCCTCTGGTGACACCACGAAGATGCTCAATTTTATCCCTACTTCAAGGCAGTTGAATTGATTTTAACAAGGTCTTAAACTAAGGTATGACTGCACCAGCCACCACTCAGTTAGACATATGTACAAGTTTAGTCTAAACAGAGCTTCTTTCAGATTTTGTTGTTAGAGAAAGGACTACTTAAAGTTCCTGCTTGCTCTTAACATAGTTGCAAAATTATCCTAATGGGAAGTACCAAGCACATCTAAAAGGTTGCAAGTAAGTTAGATGAAATAAAAATATGTAAAGAGTACCTCTTTTTACTTATTTGAGATGAAAATTTTGGTTGAATCCAGAAGCATCTTCATTACACAGTTAAAAACTAATTTCTGATTTCAATTAGGATCAATTACTTTGAGGATAGTCGGTACATAAGAGGCAGTTGACAAAACAAGTGAAGTGGTAAGAACTAGCAACTTTGAGAAATTATTTTAACTTGCCTCATAGAATATATACTTTGGAGAACCTATAGTCTATGTTGTGCAAACTCTCCAAAATGTTGCCGCACCTGTGTCAGATCCTCAAAAAATGCACTACATTTGGAGGATCCGACACGCACCCAGCAATATTTGCAGAGAGTTAGAGCAACATAGCCTATAGTTGAATTTGATTCTAGAAAATTACTAATTCTTTATGTGATTTATTTCTACAAAGATTTAACTTTATTAACTGATTCAAACATTTAAAGTACAAATCTGAGCTTATGGGTTAAGATGTCATTCTAAGTATTTTAAGTATTATTCTCTTCACACATCAGTCCTGGCAGCAGCAGTTGTGGTGATGTTTGCTTTGCACTGAAAATATCAACAAGATGTCGGCAAGATGTGATACTTGGGATTATGATACTAAAAAAATGCTTTAGGTTTTGATGTAGAGGTAAGAGCTAAGCCTCAAAATTTATAGAAATTACTAACGAGAAAATAAAAATTTGGACTTCCATTAGAGTGAATACATTTTTAGTTGGCAATGAACATAGTGTTGCATACATCTTTGTGTTTATTATCTCTTTGTGCAACATTTCTTGAACTTGGGGATACATGATGCAGCAATGGATGACCTCTTATACCAAATGAGGACATTGCTACTGTTTATCCTTCAAAATTTAAACCCTAAAGCAATAAAGCATTGCCTTATGAGATTTACACAATTTAAAATTAAGGCCAAGAGTGTAAAAATGATCAACTGTATGCTAACATTGTTGATGTTTTGCAGGATGAGCATATTGATTATGAGGAATATGTAACAACGATGAGAAGGGGAATATAGGATTGATAACTGGAGCAATAATTAAAAGAGAACCTAATTAAATTAGGGATGACCAAGTCTACACTGCTCTTTAAATTGTTGGGTTCAATATAGGGTACTTGTACAATTTCATTTATAATATGCTTTTTCTTTCGCCATTACTTATCTATCTAATGTTTTTTTGGAGAATGTATTACTTATCTATCTAATGTAAATAGCATTCCTTTATATAGCCTCTCAAGGATCTGTAAGTCATACAATTAGGACCGAGTATCGGAGTATGATAGACTAAAGTGATTTTAATCTTGGTAAAGAAATTATATTATTGGTGTTATGCTTGAAGTATTTGATAAAAAAAAATTTCTCTGATTGTTGCTTGGCTAATACATGTCATTTATCTTCTTTAGCCCGAGAAAACTATTATACTTTTATGATTTGTCTGTATCTACAATATCCATTAGCGCCTTATCCCCTTTCTCACACATATCTATGTACATATGTATATACAAATCTCATACTTATATAAATATTTGTTCTTGTAAAACTACGGAGCCACACAATGAGGTGTATTTAGAGCTATAAACATTTACTATTAACGGTAGAAGTATCTAATAGTTCTTTGCAGTAGCAAGTAGTTTCGGAAGTTTTATGTAGATATCCTGCCGCCTAAAGATGCTGGATATTTTAGTATAGGCATAACAGAGATTCTGGTGCAACTTGTTTTATTGGAGCACTCGTTAACACAACTATTCGAGCCTCATGCTAGCAGTAAATGAAATACTGGAAATTTGCATATCGATTTTTCCTTGTTTTCATTATCATTCCATCTATCATGTCCTCGAAAGACTGGGATAGAGATTATCTATCAATATACCACATAAATTATCCTAGCAATGTTTGTAAGAAATATTCTTGGATTTAGGACCTAGACTTCGAGAATTTCAGCACTTAGTATAATATTTGTTCAATGGTCTTTTGACATTTCACATGTTATTTGTGCAGGTTTTGATGAGCCTACCACTTGAGTCATAGCCAGAAGAAATAGACTTTGTGCAACAACAGTTGATGCCTGCAAAGAGAATTCTTGAAGCAAAAATTCCTTGTTGTCAATAGTTAGCCAATAAATAAATTTAAGGCAAAACTCTGTAAATAGCTAACGTGAGTTGTGCTTAAACTTATGAAAGTGGCTACTCCCTTGCTAGATTAACCTTTTACTTATATGAATCTATGTTTTTTTATATTGAAATTAAATCGTAACAAGTTGGTTTATGTTGGACTAACAATTTGATGAATACTGTGCTTTTCTATTTGTTATGAGATTTTCTAACCATGTCGGGCATTTGTGCACGGGCACCCGTCACCTAGTGTCATATATACTCCAGTCTTTGATTTTCTTGGGCAAGGAATTCGTTGTTACATTACCATTTTTCTGACAATCTTCCGTTAGAATCTCAGATAGTGAATTTTGTAGCTGTGCCTGAACTGATTCAACACTTTGCAGCAAATTGCAAGTGGGATTTTTCCGATGGAACAGGAAGGTAAAAGTAAAGAAGGGGTACAGCAAAATTAGGAGCAAGCTGATCAAAGAAGGATAGCATGTAGGAAAGGAGGTGTTTTGGAGTTGGTAATGATGGTTTAATGAGTTTTTCATTCAAGATTTCAATTTCAATACAATAACCATTCAAACTTTGCTTGGTTTGGGTCATAGTGTATCTCTTGCTTTGGCTAGCTTAAGCTGGAAATTAAATACTTGGGAATTTCTGAATTTTTTTTGCAGTAACTTTAATATGTATAGGCCTTTTAATGAGCACTTTAATTTGTTTGTTAGTTGACTTGACAGTTGCTAGAACCAAAAAATTAGGTGTTATGCGGAAGCTAGTAAAACAACACTTGAACGACGATAAATCAGACAATAAAAGAGAAATATATCAAAAAATATATAAATATTTAACGTGGTTCGGTCAATTGACATACGCCCATGGCTGAGATGAGCAATCCACTATATAAAAGAGAGTACAAAATATCGAGAGAACGACCTCACAAAGAGGCAAACACAAGTGATACACTAACACTTGTCCCGTAAAGTTACATTGTGGATGCTACTGAATGAGAAGGAAGGATCCTCAATTTATAAAAGTCCACATCTTTTCCTACAAGAAAAAGAACTAGCCAAATATGTGAGATTTATAATTTCCTTCTACAAGAAAAAAAACCTAATTATGGTAAATATGTTACCCTTTCTTTCAAGAAAGAGGAAAACCAAATATGATAATAATATTGGGGCAACACCAACATCACCCTTCGAACTCCCAGTGAAGTATAGCATCTATGTTTTGTTAGTTGCCATGTGTGCATATATAGACGGTCAACACTTCCCATCCCAGGGAAGTATGAAGTTTTTGTTGCTGTAACAAATTGACTGTCACGTGCTTTTTCAATTCTTTTTGTTTTTGTTTTTGTTGTGCATTCTGAACTTCTGTTAGTCCTATATTCAAAAAGAATGACAGAGTTCAATATCTAGTTTTTTGTCTTTAATCTGAAATTACCTCTTTAATCCTTCTAAAATAAAGTTTGCTGTATGAATTTAGAGTTTACAAAATATTACTATAAATCCCGTAGCTTATGCTTTGTGCACTGACATTCACAATATAGGCGGATCTAGAATTTGAAGATGGAGGTGTGACATAGCTGCAAATTGCAATTGCTCTCAGCGAAGACTGGTGAATTGCCCTCCACCAAATTGTTCATTCACCGGTCAATTCCCAAGTGAAACCACTATAAGAAAAATAGTACTAGATAATACTGATCAAGAACAAGAAGGAAACCAGTGCGCACAGAGTGCTCACCCGAAGGGCAGAGACTGTAGCAGTTGCGGGTTTTTCCGGGGTTCCAAAAAAAAACAAAAAGGAAACAAGAACAACTTATCGAAAAAATACAGTTATCTGCTCGAATGGTAATATATTTAGATCTCATGCGATTGTGGACCAAGAAGGAGTATTAAACTGTTTTGCCTTCAGGACCAATTTCTCATGTGCGCGAGACCACTTCCTTTTACTAGCTCTTTACTAGCCCAACAAAGAGCAATTCAATATAAAGAGAAGAAAGACAAGTGACACTTAGTATTTCTCAAAGACAAAGAAGTAACGAAGGAAAAGGGGCCACAAAGAAATCTTTGACTTTGCATTACCAAGTATAAATAATACCAACAACCACCATATTCGCCCAATAACATATTTCATAAATGAGCAACAAAGGTTGTGGTGGGATGTATATGATGCTTCCATCCTTAACCAGATGTCTGGAGTTCGGGTCCTCGAAAATCAAAGCGGATTAGTTGTGCCCTAAGACCGGGTATCGGACACCAGATGAGAAACCAAAAATAATTAACTTCATACATGTATCTGAACTAGTAGTTCATTATACACAATTTTGACTATTCGTCAAGGGTGAGTTTTTGTTACTTCTGCAAAATATTCCCATCATATTCTACTATACTGAACTATGTAATATCGTAATTTTCTGAAGCGGCAAGCTTTAATTTAGCTCTATTTGCAAAAAAAATGTGAAATCTATTAGGCCATGTTTGATTCTAGTCAAGTAGATTGATTCCTATTACTCCTCTGCCTCATGAAACATTAAAAAACATTATTACTATTTGGGACTCAAAAATAATCTTTTCATTATGATTTTCAAAATATATTAAAGCCTGTTTAGCATTAAAGTTTTGTGATTACTAGTATTCTTAATGCAATTACTACATAGATATGTAAATTTTATTTTGAAAAAATTATAAAATTGATAATCAAATCTATTTTGAAAATTAGATGTCTTGATCCGTCGACCTGACCAGATATAGAGCATGCTATAAGCTCCTGAGTACCATTCTGGCTTGTTCTGAGATGGTTGTGAAATTGAATGGGTTTTCGGAGTTTGTAAATTTTGTCGGGTTCCGAGGTGCGGGCCCGGGTTGGGCTTTTTGCCGATTTTGTGCTTTTGATTAAAGATTCGATCTTTCTCGATTGGGATTGGTTCCTTTAACATTGTTTGATGTATTTGATTTGTCTTTTGGTTAGTTTTGAGCCGTTCGGAGGTCGGAACGCGTGTGATGGCATTTTTGGAGCATCGCTTGGCTTGCTCGTAGTGGAATCGGCTTGTTCAAGATAAGTAACTCTTTTAAACTTAGTGCTGAGGGTATGAAACCCCGAATTATGTGCTATGTGATTGGTGTTGAGGTGACACACATGCTAGGCGACGGGCGTGTAGGCGTGCATCCTGTGAATTGTGACTCCGTTGTTTCCCTGGCACTGTTTAGTGACCCTAGTTTGTTGATATCTGTGTTTTCACCATGTGATTAATTAATTGAGCTGTCAATCATGCTCGATATCATGTTTAGGCTTTATGCTGATATTGTTAGGACCCATAGTGGTCGTTTCTTGCTGTCACCTCACTGATTTCATTGATATTTCGTATTTAGTCATATTCATGCATTTATATCATATCTCAGTCTCAGTTTTATTTATTGATACATCATATCATTGTTGTCGGGCTAGTTTAATGACATTGAGGGCCCGAGAGACAGGAGAGACTGATGACTGAGTGAGGCCGAGGGCCTGATTGGGAGGATATTTATGGGATCGGGCTGCACGCCGCAGCATATTATATTGATTTATGCCTGAGTGAGGCCAAGGGCCTGATTGTAAGGATATCGGGCTGCACGCCGCAGCATGTTTATTGATTTATGCCTGAGTGAGGCCGATGGCCTGATTGTTATGCCATGATTGGCTTGTTATAGCGCTTGGGCTGAAGGAGCCCCTCCGGAGTCTGCACACCCCCAGGGAGCACAAGTACCTACTTAGTGCGAGGGCCGAGGGCCGAGTGCCGAGTGCCGAGTGATTGGGAGGACTGAGTGGCTGTGAGGACTAAGTGACTGGGAGGACTGAATGGCTGGAAGGACTGAGTGACTGGAAGGACTGAATGGCTGGAAGGACTGAGTGACTGGAAGGACTGAGTGAATTGATACTCTGAGAGTACACATATGGTTTTGCTACTGAGTCGCATCGCATTTGACATGCACATGACATACATGCATAGAGGTGCATTTTTCCTCATGTTGTATGGTATCACGTCATTCATGACTTTTTTTTACACACATTGATATGTGGGCATAGAGAGGTATTTCACACATCCTATCTGGAAGAAATGAAACATCATATCTATTGTTGAAAGGATTTTTGGAAAAACTCACAGTTTTCAAACTTACTCGTATTTTCGACGATTTCGGTAAAAGAGTTGAGTTTTCACTGATATACTTGAAATGCGGAACTATTTTTTGGAAAAACTATGAAGACGCCAAGCATTTTATCTCTGAATTACTTCCTTATTTATATGTTGTACATTGTTATGACCTGCTACTAGATATTGGTGTTGGACCCGACCTATGTTCCAGCTCGTCACTGCTTTCAACCTATGTTTAGGTTTGTTAGATATTGAGTACATGGGGTCGGTTGTACTCATACTACACTTTCTGCACATTGCGTGCAGATTCCGGGTGCCGATGTTGTTGTGTTCGAGGGGAGATGAATTAGAAGATGTACTTGCGTCCCTGTTGTAGCTGCCCCTTGTTCATGGTAGCCTTAGAATTATAAAACTCTCTTTAAGTATTTTTCAAACATATGATGTATTTACTTCATATTAGCTTTGTAAACTCTATTCTTAGAAGCTCATGATTTGTACTACCAGTCCTTGGGAATGTATAAGATTTAGATAATTTCTTTGATGAATTGTCATGTTAAGTATCATTGAAACTGGATAGATATTAGTTGGATAGCTACGGACATAAGCTACTGAAGCAGCATGCTTTAATTTAGCTCTACTTGCAAAAAGTTGTGAAATCTATTAGGCCATGTTTGGTTCTAGTTAAGTTGATTGATTCCTATTACTCCTCTGCCTCATGAAACATTATTACTATTTGGGACTCAAAAATGATCTTTTCATTATGATTTACAAAATATATTAAAGCCTGTTTAGCATTAAAATTTTGTGATTACTAGTATCTTAATGCAATTACTACATAGATATGTAAATTTTATTTTGAAAAAATTATAAAATTTATAGTCAAATCTATTTTGAAAATTAGATGACTTGATCCTTCGACCTGACCATATATAGAGCATGCTATAAGCTCCTGAGTACCATTCTGGCTTGTCTGAGATGGTTGTGAAATGCAAGAGGGAGACAAATAATTGGATTCTTTAAGCCTTCTTTATAGA